TTCAGTCTTCCAAGATACACTGAGTCAAGCCTGGGTCAGTGCAGAAAGCGGGCCCCTCTCCCACACCCTGCAACTGTGGCTAGGAGCAGTCATCAGGAAGGTGAGGGGGGCTGGCCGGGTGCCTGCGCCTCTGCAGGCTCGGAAGGCAGCCATCCTCCTACACTCAGCACACTTTGGGGACACTCGGCAGACACCATGATGTCCCTAGGCCCACTTCTCCTTCCAGCCGCACAGAGTGGGAGCCTGAGCTGGGGCTGGATCTTGGGAGAGGCCTCTCTGAGTGGGAGCTTGTGATGCTGTCTTAGTGGGGAGCCCCACCCCATTGCCTCTTTCCTGCTCTTCTGATGGTTTTCCTTTTGGCATATTTATTTCCTGGCTTCTTGCCCTTGCATGTGTGATGTGTGGTGGAGGCACAGAGGGAGGAGGAAAAGCATATAGAAGGGTGGCTCCTGGGCTGAAACTTGGAGAAAGAAAAAGCTGTGTGGATCAGGAACTTTCTGGACCTACCCCTGCCAGGGCCTTTGAGCCCCCGGCCTCAGGAACCCTCCTGGAGGTTGACAGTGGTTCAGCCTCAGGCAGGAAGAGTATAAGGAATCTCTGTCAGGGCAGGCCAGGCATCACCCCTCTGCCATCTGACCAGGTTCCCCAGGACATTTGCGCTGTGCCCACTCCAGGCAACACTGTCCTGCCTACAGTTGCATTTGTCCAGTGTGCTGCCCTGTCAACTCACTGACTGGCATGCCCATAGCTTGACTCTGTGACACACCACATGGCTGTGTCACCCAGGAGACCTGTGCCTCCCACAGTGCCAAGAAGCCAACAGTAGGCTCTGAGACTACCACACAAGGAACTGTTCGCTTTACCTCCTTCTGTGGCTCAGCCAGGAGGAGGGTGGGTCACCCTGTGCAGGTGGTCCTTCTGTGAACCACAGTGGCAACTCCAAGGCTTACAGAGGTCATCTTGATGAGGCTCCTCATTTTGTAGCAATAGGGCTTCCCAAGGTCAAACACTTGCCTTAGCAGAATTGGACAATGACCTTGGCCTCCAGCTTCTGTCCTGGGAGTGAGACCCCACCCCATCTATCACCAAGACTCAGAGAGTTTTCCATATTCAGAAAGAAAGTACAGAATGACCTGCTGTCTTGTAAGCTGTCGCGTGTGAAATTCTAGGGACATTTTCTCCTCACTCAGATGCCTTGTGGGCATCCTGACTCCACCCTTCGTCTCCCTCCATGTACAGGCCATGGTGATTCCAGGAAGTCCCCCCTCTTAAGATCAAATCAGTCGTCCTCTCTGCTTCTGCCCCTGTGGGCGCCATTGCCTCTCACAGGAATATTCCTATCTCTTTCTTGATCGCTTCGATACTGTGTTTTTAAATGTCCCTGCTTCGTCCAGAGCCCTCTGGTAGTTACCCATCGCATGTAAGATAAGGGACACTCTCACAATGATCTAAATGTGGAGGACCTTATTATGTACTGTCCCCTCACACTCCACCCCAGCCACACCAGTCTTTTCCCCAGAAGATGCCAGCAAGCGCCTACCTCAGGGCCTTTGCGCTTGTCCCCTCTGCCAGATTAATATATGGCACCTTCAGTGTCACCTTCTCAGTGAGACCTGTCCTAACCACTCTACCTGAAAGTGCAGACATGGCAGGGGTGCTGCCCACCATATGCCAGCTCCCCAGTCCTGCCTTCCTAGCTCGGTGGAGCTTCCCCACCTCTGACAGTCCACATGGAGCATCTGTTCTGCTTACCAGAATGCCCACTAGGTGGCGCTCCACAGGGCGGGTCTTTTGGTGGGGCTGTCTCAGTGCCTGGCACGTAGTGGGCGCTCTATTAGCATTTGTTGGGTATCAGTGGATGGCAAGGAGGTGATCAGCCATATTACCCCTGCATCTTCTCAGGGCCTTTGGGTGCCCCGATCACTGTCCTGCCTGCTGTCTGGACTGCCCCCCTCTAAGGGCCCCCACCACAGTCCAGTCACCAGCCTACCAGATGTCCCAAGAGGTGCTAGCCTTAGAGGCCTCATCAAGCAGGAAGAAGAACCCATTCCCCCATCCACATTGGAGGCTGGTCCCCTGTCTCAGAGCTGTTCCTGGTCCTGGTCCCTGGCTCTGACGTTCCCAGTGTCCTCAGGTGGCCTCCTTGCTCTTCACGCCCCCAAAGCCTGTCTGCTAGATGCAACTCCTCCTGTCTTAGTGCCTGCAAACCAGAGTGGAGGGAAATGGCACCGTTAGCACAGCCACAGTGGAGGGGCGTGGGCAGGGCAAGTGGTGGACCCACGCACCATGGCCTACGCCTTCATGAAGGACAGCACCACTGCTGATGGGCTTCTGGAAGGTGTCCACTTGACCTGGAAAGCCCACACTCTGCCAGTCTTTGCTTTAGTTATTTTCCAGATAAGTTCTCGCATGTTTGCCCAGAGCTGTCCTCTTGACTGTGATCCTCCTACGTCCATCATGACGTAGCTGGGACCACAGGCATGTGCCACCACACCAGTCCTGTTTGTTGAGATGAGATCTCACTAACTTTTTGCCTGACTGGCCTTGAACTTTGATCCACCTGATCTCCACACCTCCTGAGTTGCTGGTATTACAGGCATGCATTACCATGCCTCATCCACAGTGGCCACATCTTAAAGACACAAAGTAATCACAGCTACTTGTATGGAGTGGCAGGGAAGGTTGAATGAGTCTGTGTTGGGGATATGGAACCACCAGTTTGGGTAATACTTCAAAATGGCCGACTGACAAAAAACAGGGCTCAGAGGCCTGTGAGGTACGCAGCTCTGTAACGAGATGGGTTGGAAGGCCCAGGAAACTTGCATTAATCCTGTTAGGAATCTCACAGGGTGCTACACCACACTGTAGTTAAAATATTCACGCTGTCTGCTCCTCACCTCCGCCTCCTATCCCCTTCACACTTCCAGATGTCAGCTTGGCCATCTGGGTGGCCCCAATTACCTCTTTCTGGGGTCTGCCAGGCCTGTCCACTGCACTTAATAAATTCTCTCTAGAAGGAAGGGCTCCAAAAATACCCATGTGTGTCATCAGTACAGCCACCCTTTGCGGTAGGAACTATGACACTCACATTGAACAGATAGGGAAACTGAGACAAACAGAGGTCATGTAATCTGTCCAGGGTCACACATGAGGGACAGTGGTAGAGCCAGAGTGTTTGCGGGGACCACTCCCCTTTCCTGTCCGGCAGCCCGGGCCCTAGCCACTCCCTGGCCTGCCCACCACTCCACCCATGGCCCTGAAACTCAGCTCTAAGAGCCTGGCTTCCAGAGAGGGCTTCCCCCAGGCAGAACCCAGGCCCTTCCCATCCATCAGCACCCGACCCCTCCAAGACCTTGGGCCCAATCAAACTGCAACTGTTTTCCTGAACCATCCCTACCCCTCCAATGGCCGTGCACCCACCCAGGTTCTCGGTCAGCCAGACCACTCCCTCCTCTGACCATGCCCGGCCCTCCCCTGATGCTGGACCATCCCTCCTTCCCTCCTACCAGGCTGTAAAACCCAGTCCTGGTCTTGCCAGATTCCACCCCCTGGACAGACTGATAATTCCTCAGTTTACCACGAAAGCTTTATGCCTGGACCACTGTCGGTCAGGGCACCTTGGCTGCTCAGGTCCTTGCCCTTGGCCTGCCCTGCCCGTCACCCTCTCCTTGTTCCTTTGTGTGCCTTGTACATAAAGGCTCCCGGTACCTCTCCCTCTCCTGTGGTCAGCTGTGGGGGGGGGAGGCCCAGCGCAGTCAAAACAAACCATTAAAAATGACTATCTATTGTAGAATATTAATTATAGTTGTGGTGTTTCTGTAGCCCCCATCCTAATCCCAAATCCAGAAACACAGTTTCCTGAGGAAAAGCGTTGGCTCTCCTAGCTGCCTGCTTCCTAGTTGTGTAACCTAGGGCAAGTGACTTAGCCTCTCTGTACCTGTTTCACCATCTGTAAAATGAGGACAATAATGACTGAATAAGCTGATACTGCTAGACGGGCGTCATTCATTGTCCTGGTGGTTGTCATTATTATTGTCATCAGAAGGGGAACTGGAGCTGGGGCCAGGAAATATCTTCATTCACACACCTGTCCAACAGGTTGGAGTGGAGCAGTGGCCTGCCTCTTGCCAGTGTCCCTCTGTTACCTGCTTTTCTCTCCTCTGGTTCACATTCTCAGTGGACCTCAGGCTCACCAGGCACTTGGGCTGAGAGCAAATCCCCTGGGCCCAGCCCTGTCCTGGGACTTGCCCCCACTAGCCCAGCGATCATGTCACCTCTACCCCTGACTAGGTTGGAGTTAGAGGCTGCCTTGATTTTCCCCCAGAAAGCAATGGGCCAGCTAGTCCGGTCTGAAAGGCTTTGCCCTCTGCTGTCCTCACCTCACCCCGTGTTCCCTCGGAACCATGCTTGACACAGAAAGGGACACACAGTGCTTCTCCCGGGGAACAGCCAGTGAGATCTGCAGGTCCCAGGGCCCCTGAAGCCTGACTCCCAGGCTCTGACATGCCCTTCTCATCCCCCAGCTCGGACCTCCTCCCAGGGCTCAGGACCCAACAGCAAGAACCTGAACATCCATCTCCAGGGGGTCCAGGTCCTGAGCGAACACCCCAGGCAGTAGAACACAACAAGGTCCCTTGCCTGCCCTGCCTGCAGGAGGCGCTGTGGACACAGGCCATCCACATGGGTTCCATGACTCTGGACACTGGGAGAAGGTCCTAGAGACAGATAGAACACTCCCTGGGGGCTGGGGTGACTAGGACTGTTCCCAGAAGGAGCCGAGACCCAAGCCTTATGACTCCCAAGGGTGATAAGGAGAGTCGATTGATCAAAGCCCTGTGAGACCCCTCCCAGAGCTGCAGACCTGAGGTCACCTGGAGAGGTGGAGCCTGCCACAGGAGGCCTGGGGACACCAGAGGAGGTGTCTGCTGGGCTCAGGCCTCCTGGTTCACATGGGGGGGGCACCGTGCCTGGAGTCTGGTTGACAGTTGTCACTGCTGTGTCCTGGTAGCAGCCAGGAGTAACTTACCCTGCTCTGTGTCCGACACAGAGGAACACCTCATTCAACCCTCAGAGCCTTAAGCAATAGCTCTTGACACCACTATTCTCCCATTTCACTTATGGGGAAACTGAGGCAGAAACCACTAAGAGCCTTGCCCAGGTGCATGCATCAAGGAAGTGATGGACCCGTGGTTGAACCCAGGCCTGGCTGGTCCCAGAGTCTTGCTCTGTGCCATGTCCTTTCTCAGTTTGGAATAGCACAGCCTGAGCCCCACTGGGTGGGGGCTGAGGGAACATCAGGCTTCACAAGGGCACAGTTGCTGTGAGTCAGCCCTCGGCAGGGATCACCCTGCAGCCTGCTTTGGACCATTAGGCAGGTTTCAATTATTTTTATGCTTAGTCAAATATCTAATTTTTCCCTATAATGGACAGTTGGTTAAAGCCGGAAGTACTGAGGGCACTGATAGTAAGCGGCTGGCTCGGGGCGTGGTAAGCATTGGCAATTCTGCCCATTTGTGTCACGGGACGCTGTCCACACAGCCCATCTGTCCCGCTGGTCTCTCCCCGCTGCTCCCATGGCCTGCACAGTCCGGCTGAGAGAGACAGTGGCAGGGACACCCTCCCCTGGGGGTCAAGGCCCTCCTGGCTCACCAGCATGCTATTTGGGCAGAAGTGTCTTTAAGCTTCTGGAAAATTCTTGGTTCCATCATTTAGAAAACAAGATTACAAAAATGCGGGTGAATTCAACTATGATATATTGTAAGAACTTTTGTAAATGTCACAATGCACCCCAGCACAATAATATTATATATGAATTCAAGAATCCCACTGGCAGAGTGGCTCAAGCAGTGAGAGTGTCTGCCTATCAAGCGTGAGGCCCTGAGTTCAAACTCCAGGGCCACTAAAAAGAAAAAACAAAAATTCAAGAATCTCATACCTTGGGTGGTGAAATTCATTTTTGCTTTCTGTTTCTTCTTCCGCCTTGTACAGTGACACTCTGGCCTGCAGTTTCGTGTGCGTCTGTTGCCAAAGCCACGGTGTGGTGGTGCAGTCTCGTTCTGAAATCTGTCTTACTTTCCTAACTCATTTATAATAAAGGAAGGAATGTGTCACTGGCTAACCAGGGGAAGTTTTCCCTGTCTTCCTATTGTTAAAGATGGTGTCGAATACAAAATTAAAATTCACTTCCAATCACTATATTTGCCACCAAATGTCTTACACTTTTTTCACTTCCAAGTATTTGTGGTATCACTGTGAGAGGGGATCGTAGCTCAAATGAGCTGCCTCGGTTTCCACCAGGGTAAAAATAGCAAAGAAGTGTCCCATCCTTTTCCCACCCACCGAGGAGCAGGTCTCCTGACAGGTGCCATGCAGGCCCACCCAGGCAGCAGAGTCTCACTTTGGGAAGTTCGACTTTGCAAACGTTGTCCAAAAGGACAAACCGACCTGCCACAGCGAGTGCTGCATAGGGTCTCCTGGACTCCTTCGGATGAGCCCCCCAGTATAGTCTCTGTGGGTCTGTGCACCCCCACGCACAGAACTGAGTCTGATGCTGCCATTTCCTCACCCATGGTGGGGAGTCTCCACAGCTTACCTCCTGCCAAGGCAGCAGGGCCTTGTGGCTCGGTGTGACTGTATTTTATTTGGTTTTTCTGAAGCGTAAGAAATTAACTTGGACCAAGAGCTGATCCAACTGATGGCTCACACCTGTAATCCTAGCTACTCAGGAGGCAGAGATCAGGAAAATTGCAGTTTGAAGCCAGCCCTAGGCAAATGGTTCATGAGACCCTATCTGGAAAAAAAATCCATCACAAAAAAAAAGAGAAAAAAGGACTGGTGGAGTGGCTCAAGGTGTAGGCTCTGAGTTCAAACCCCAGTACCACAAAAAAAATTCACTCAAGCAAAATTGCTTCCATGGCTTTGTGGAATCTTCTAGTTCTTCTAGAATGTCCTCTCTACATCTCACCTTTTAACCAAAACCTACTCATTTTTAAAAACTTGATTTTGACACCATTTCAGACTCTTAGAAAAAAAGTTGCAAGAATCATAAAAAAAAAAAAAAAAAAGGAAAAAAGAACCCTCCCATCTATCCTTCACTAAGATGCCCAAGTGTTAACACTGTAGTCTTCTCTCTCTCCTAGATATTCTTTTCTGGCCCAAGAGTGGAGTTGCCAGAATAATGCCCTTTTGCTACTAAATACACATAAATGCACAACATCTTTCTTTGAAACAAAGCCTTTTTCATAACCACAATACAGTGATCGAGATCACAGAACTGAAGCACAATCCAGACACGACACTGATCTCATCTACAGACCTGTAAAGTTTTTTCAGTGATCCTAGGTCAGGGGGTACATTCAACCAGTCTCCTCAGTTGTCTTTTAACCTGAGACAGTTCTAAAGTCTCTTGTGTTTCAGGGCATTTACTTTGTTGTTAAGGACTGGCGGGCAGGACTGCCAGTCATAGTGGTTCACACCTGTAATCCCAGCTAATCAGGAGGCAGAGACAGGAGGATCTCTAGTCAAGGACAGTCCAGGCAAAGTTAGGGAGACTCTGGCTCAAAAAAACGAAATATAAGCAAAGGAACTTGGGGTACTTAAGAGGTAGAGAGCACTTGCCTAGCAAGTGTGAGGCCCTGGGTTCAATCAGTAGTCACTTTCCACCCCTGCTCCCCCAAAAAAGGACTATTTATTTTTGTAGAAGGGCCCTTGGTGTGTGTTCTTCTGTCATTTCTTTGTGCTTAGACTCAGGTCGTGTGCACTTTGGTGGAGTTCATGTCAGGAGGTCCACACTGTCTGTCCCGTGACTGACGAGGCTGTCTTTGATGAGCTGGTTCAGGTGGTGAGATGTGAGTTTTCCCCTGGTAATGGAGACTGTCTTTGGAACATACCAACATTGTTTTCCCTCAGACTTTCACCCCATGCCCTCGACTGATGATTCATTTTGTCAAATGGTTTTCCCAGCCCGTCATCCCCCCTAAATTTATCAGTAGGCTTTTCACCAGACAAAAAGAGTCTTTGGTTGAGTTTGAAACTCATGAGTCCAAATCTCAGGACCCCAGCGTTTGGAAGCCTGGGAGTGGAAGTCCTTGTCACCCACCTGAATGACTTTGGAGCACATACCCTGAAGCATGGTCAAGTGCTGTTCTGAGCAAAAGTTACTAGCACCCACCCATAAGCCCCTGTGTTCTGGAAGGTTCTGGCCCAAGAATCTATCTGCTGGGAAGCTTGTCCCCAGGTTGCCAGGCTGAGGCCAGGGCTAGGGCTGTGTGCCAGGCTAGTGAGGCTGCCACTCCAGGGAACGTCTCGCCACCAACTCGTCAGTTCCATCAGCCCCGGCTGAAAAATGTGGCCCGAGGGAGGCCCTGTGCTAGCTAACTCCACTTTACTTTCCCTCTCCTTCCCAGGGTGGAACAAACAGCCCTTCAGGGACATGCAAACCTGTCAGTAATGAAGTTGTGAGAGGAGGAGGCTGTCCCTGGAGGGCGCTGGGGTGGGATGGCTAATGGAGTGAGGCGGTGGCCAGCATGGTGCCCTGGAGAGCTGGGGCTGTGTGGTGCTCCACAGCCTACAAGGCCTGCCCAGCTCCAGGGCACCCGGCTCCTCTGCTCCCCCTGTATTGGGCCATCTCTGCTTGGCCTTAGGGGCCTTTCCCACAGCCTCCCAAGGCTAGCCAAGAAGACCGGGTGGTCTCCATGGTGGGCCCAAGGTCCAGGAGTATATAAGCAAGGGGGATCCCTAGGCTCTGGGGTCAGCCCGTACAGCTCCGGCCCTGCAGTTGTCCAGTCCCTGGTACAGCCCTGTCACCTGCCTGCCCTCGGAGGCCCCAGGCTCCAGACCTCCCCGTTTGAGTGTGCCTCCAGTGCCTCATTCATGGGGTGTTTGTGTTTAGAATCCCAAGGCCTAGCTTGCCTATCTCACTAACCTGAGAATATTCTACAGCTATCTCTCTTCTTCCCTCTCCCAAAATGTGCACTGTTAGACAGGAGGAGAAGGGCTGTGGGGAGGGGAGCACTCAGAGAGGACCATAGGTCCGGCCTGGCAAAATGACAGGCACAGCCACACAGCATGGAGGAGAGACTTCTGTGTGTTCATTGTCTTTTCACTGAGTCACAAGGAGTTGGAATGACACAACACTTGGCCCGGTCCCCTTGGTCTCGACCCAGGGCAGAGCTGCAGTTGCTCTGCAGAACTTGGGTGATATCTCCCACCCCCACTGCCCTGTCTCCAACTCGTCCCTCCAACAAGCTCTGCAGGTATCTCTGCTGCTTTCCCCCTAGAGTTTCCTCCCCGTTCACAGAAAGAGGGTTTCTTTGTACCGTACACCTTAGTGACCTCAGCACACAGATGTGTTTTTTCTTCTTATTAATTCAACAGTGTTCACCTTTTCACTTAAAGAGAGCACTTTATGGCTTCTCTTCAGCATAGTTAAACTGCCAGCATCGCCACACTTGTGCTCTGGGACCATTATTAAGTAAACTGGGTTACTTGAACACAAATATCCCAGTCTCGCAACAGTCGATCTAATAGCAGAGATGGTTAAGTAACTAACTGGGAAGTGCCATGTACAATGTAGATACATCAGACACAGAG